CCCTAAAAATTGCAAATATTTACTTAATTTATCAAAGCCCAAAGTTAAAATTTTTATCCTTCTCTGAAATAATTACAGGAACTTAGAAGATTTTAATTCCAAATTCTCCTCATCTTGTGTTATGCCATTGTTTTGTGGATTCCAATTGTATTTATTTTGATTACTTAATACATTAACAACATTGTTTAAATTTTCCCCATATTTACTTTCACTGCATTTAATCCTTCTCGCACCTCACATTCCTTCTGAACAAAGTATGTCTTTTAAAATTTCTTTTGCGAGGATTTACTGGTGGTAAACTTTCCCAGCTTTTGTCTGAAAACGTCTTGATTCATTACATTTTTTTTTTGCAAGATCCACAATCCTAAGCTGATAGTTATTTTTTCTCAACTCAGTGATGCTTCAGCTTCTCTGCTTGTGGGTTCCCACTGATGCTGTTGTGAAGTCAGCTGTAAGTTGGCTGAGTTTTTGAAGATATTAAAGGGTATTTTAATTTTTATGTGCAGTTTAGCTACAATGTGTGTAGTGTGGACTTTTTTTTTTTTTTTTCCATTTATCCTTGGTATTCACTGGGTTCCTTGGCTCTGGATTAATGTCTTTCAAGTCTAGAAAATTCTCAGCCATCAATCATCTTCTTCAGTACTGTCTCGCTTCCCTTTCCCTTTCTGAAATTCTAGCTAGATGTATGTTAGGCTTCCCCACTTTATCCCCATGTCTCTTAACTCATTTTCTGTTTTCATTTCTGTCTCTCTAGGCTGCATTCTAGATAATTTCTTAAATTCAACTTTCCAGTTCGTTAATTCTTTCTCAGCTATGTCTAATGTGCTGTTATGCCTGCCTATGGAAATTCTAATTTCTATTATGTTCTCTTATTCCTAGAAGTTCTGTTTAACACTCCTCCAAGTTTTCTTGCCTTTACCACATTTCCAGTCCTCTCTTTTATTTCCAAAAATTAACGCAAGGGCTCTAATTTTATATTCTGGGCTCGATAACCCCAGTTTCTGAATTAGGAGTCTGGTCCTCCGCTGTCCTGTTTGTTCTGGCCCTTGCTCATGGTCTTGTTTCCTTTTTTAGTAATCATTTCTTTTCTGATTGTAAGTTGCTCATTTCCTTCTTTTCTGATTGTAAGTGCTCTAGTTCTGTTATTATTCATTCCTCTCCATTTTCTTTTTTCTGGTATTACTACTAGCTGGATTTTGACCATGCCACCTTGACTGGCTGTGTATCTTCAATCCCTTTCACAGTTTCCATTTGTGTTTCGCTTTATACTCAGAAAAAAAAAAAGTCTTCAACTTTACATTCAAGGCTTCAGACTTCAGCTATTATCATCCCTCCTATTGATTTTGTCAATCATATTTTTAATTCTCAAGTGTTCATTTGTTCTGTAATTACCTCTTTTTCATACCAATCTGTTCTCTTTTTATTTAACACAAATAATTTCAAATCTTTCTAAGGACTGTAATTATACTTGAAACTTTTTTCTTTTTTTCCTTGAATTAGACTTCCTAGATTTCCTTTGGGACTAGTCTTTCTTTTTGGTGCTCACTGGTTATATATTCCTATTTTTAAATAAAAAATTGGTTCACCAAGGTAGTTGGTATGGCTTTCCTGTATCAGTATACCGAGCGATTTTTCTAACACACCTATGCCTTGTAGGGAAGAGCTGATTTATGGCTCTTTGTAAGTGGGCAGGGTATGCTGACGTGAAGGATTCATTCAGGGCTCAAGAAAAGAGAAGCCTCCAGGCAAGCTGCAGGACCAAGCCCTTCCTCTACCCGCTCCTCTAAGAAAAATATAAAGCACTGTACTTTAGGTGTGTAGAATTTTTGTTTATTTCCCTTGAGAAATAGTTGACTCTTCTGCCATTACTCGATGTCATCTATTTTTAAGGTCTGGTACTATCTTAGAATCTATTCTGTTTCTCTCTTTGCTATTAGTTCCCAACGAGGAGTGAACTGTTTTTTAATTTTTTAATTTTTTTTTTTTTTTAGCAACTATTACTGTATTTTTTGTTTTGGGGGGTTTTTGAGAAAAAAAATAACCCTGAAAGCTCTGTGTGGGAATCCGTGAGGATGGGGCTGGAGGGTAATGGTTGAAGGATGGCCAGGTGTTCCCATCACTGCAAACAATTCGCACTTGTTCTCTCTTGGGGGTCAGTGGAGATGTGGTCTTTCCTGGGGCTCCCGGGGGCTGTTCCCACCACCACTAAAGCTTGTTCCTGTTTGATTCTTCCTTTGCTGTGTGACGACCTTCCCTGTTCAGGAGTATTTTTCAGTAGGGTCTTATTACTTTTGTCTTTCCAGAAACACAACTAAATTTCTGGTTTGCTGATGGCCCTTCTTCCCGGTTTCGGTGCTATTTTGGATTTATTTCCATTTCTACAGCTTCACAGCTATCAGGTGGGGATTCTGAAGGGAGGGGAAGAAGTGCTCAGGTGCAGTCTCTCAACTGAACAAGACGTTCTCATAATTTTTAAAAATGTAGACAAATCATCCATGTTAATATTCAAGTATCTCAAGGCTTAACTAGATTCCATTTTATAATATCAAGTTCAATTGATCAGTAAATCAATGAACGATCTACCTTTTAAAAGATTTGTATTGAAAGTCATTTTCTGTTTATACAATCTTTCCTTTAGTTTCTACAATACAGTCTTTCTCACTTCAAAGAGAATAAAAGCACTGGCCTAAAATAATGAGTGAGTAATCAATCCACACAGATATTCTGTTTCTGGTTTCTCTGAAGTTCAATATTTCTTTATTTCCTACACGTTCACTGGAATCATGATTCCAAACCAAATACAAAAACAGCATGGGAAATGGTGGTGGGGTCAGTTCTCTTAAAGTTTCAAATGTGCTGTAAATTGCAGACAATTCTCAGACTTTTAACAGGAATATTATTTTTGTGTATATGTGCTGGGGTTTTGGAGAAAGATTTATTTAAAAATGAAAAAAGGCCAGGTGTGGTAGCTCACACCTATAATCTCAGCACTTTGGGAGGCCAAGGCAAGAGGACCACTTGAGGCCAGAAGTTCAAGACCAGCCTGTGCAACATAGTGAAAAGCTGTCTCTAAGAAAAATTTTAAAAAGTGGTATGTGCCTGTAGTCCTGGCTACTTAGGAAGCTAAGGTGGGAGGATTGCTTGAGCCCAGGAATTCAAGGTTATAGTGGGCTATAATTGTGCCACTGTACTCTAGCCTGGCAACAGAGCAAGACCTTGTCTCAAGAAAAAGAAATTAAAAAAAACCCCTTATTCCTAGAAAAGAAAAAACTAATCAAAAACTTTTCCTGGACAATGAAATGCCAGAGGGTTTTATATCACACAGGGATAGTACCACATCATGTCCCATAGAAGAAGGGTCCATTTTTATATAATCTAAATTGCAGTGACTATTACGCATGCCATAAAAATATGCCAGATGCACACAGAAATCACAGCAGATAGTCCTCGGACAAGAATTCAATCTCATGGTGAAGTGATGGCAGCAGCTTTCCGGGAATCAACATAGTGGGATGAAAAGTTTGTGTCTTTGGGGCAGAGAGCTCTGAATTCAAATTCTAGCTGTCATTTTTTTTTAGCGCAGTGTCTAAGAAATGACTGGTTTTTAGCCTCAGAATCTAATTTTCTTCATGTGTAAAATTGAGATCCTAATGCCTCGCTCATGCAGCTATCGTGACGATTAAGTGAAATACCGTAAGTCAGGACGCTAGCACAGAACAGACACTCAGCAGGAATTTCTTTTGCTGTTCTGTCAAAAGTGCCAAGCTGGCAGAAGGTACATGTATTCATCTATGGGATCTTCCATTTACTCTGAACGTTTAAATTCAATGGTGAGACACAGTGAGGAAAGCAAGGACAACTCTTCAAGACATTCTAGTCTGTGGTATGCGATGCTGACGCCTGTATACCACCACATGGACTTAACCAGGATTTCTTCTGATCTCTTTTCTTAGAATTAGATTCATCATTTTCTTCAGATTTCATGTCTTTTGGCATTTTGCCTCATCGCTGATGCCTGTGCCCACAGCAAATCCCAACGGTGGGTTGGATAAGTAAGAGGTATTGCCTCCACACTACTATGCCATCACCCCCTCCACCGGCCTTTCTCTAGCTGTGCATGAAAATTCTGCTGCTTCCCAGTGCATTTGCCAGAACATCTTTTTTTTCTCCAGCCCATTTGTCTCACAGACGCCCAGTGGTTGAGTCTCAGTTCCACAGAGAGATCTGCAGCTCAGAGGATGTTCAGTCTTCAAATGCAGCTTCGTAATTGGCAAGGGGTGCTCTCAGCTTGCTGGCTGGTCGTGAAACTAACAAAGCCCAGTCTTTGTGAGTGTGCTTTTAGGACACAGGGTCACTTATGCATTTTTAATGCTCAAGACAACGTTAATACCAATTAGTAGTGCCAAAGAAGAGAATTAAAACACAACTTCATGGAATGATAACATCCTCTCTTTGACCAAAAAGCCCATGTGTTTTATTAGCCACCAATTCAGTAAGAAAACTGCTTCTTAGATAGTTGAGTCTGTCTATTTCTGGAAGAGGACACAGTACACATACCCACCTGGTTGTGACTTTTCTTCATGGATTCTAAGGTCATTTGTCTGAAGCTCTACTGATTGGTTTTCTTTGCCCACTCATTTTCCTTTAGTTCAGACAACCAATTATGTGCCTTTTAAGTTTTTTTCTCCCTCCACATATACTAGGAACAGCCATAATAAAGCACGATATTCCCTTCTCTTGGGATGGCTTTGGAATTCACTGTTTTCTGTTTTGGCCCTCCTTTCCTTGAATATGTGCACTCAAGGTCATCTTGAGTGACCTTTAATGATAAATCTTATCATTCATTCGGGCAGCACTTGAACAAATGGCCCCTTTCCCCAGTTTTTTAGTGCATTTCTTTGAAACCTACCATCCACTGCGTGCTCATCTTCCCGCCCCCTCTGCCCTCTGCCCCTGCCCCCTGCTCCCCATATGAAACTCCAGAGTGAAGTCTTTCTTACTTGGATTATTGTGTCCAGAGGATACAAGCTGAGAGTCCTGAAAGAACAAGAAACATCAATTAATTTTCTTATTGTGACTTTCAAAACCCAAGTTAACCACGAGATCATGTTTAAAACCGGTCATTCAGAACTGATTCATCGCTCTCAATCTCTATCAGCTACCTCAGTGAGAAACATGGACACGAAGGTGGACATGTACATGTTAAGCAGTTTTGGGAATACACTTCACAGTCATTTTTCTTTTGTATTAACGACTTTCTGTTTATTGAGGTGAAGTTCATGTAACATAAAATTAACCATTCTAAAGTGAACAATTCAGTGGCATTTGGTACATTCATAAGGTTGTGCAACCACTACCTCTATCTAGTTACAAAATATTTCCATCACTCTGAAGTAAAATCCGTTACCCATTAGGCAGGGTCTCCCCATACCCCTGCCCCCCAACCCCCTGTGCCCCAGCCCCTCACAACCACCAATTTCCATCTGTCTCTTGGATTTATCTATTCTGGATATTTCATATAAATGGAATCATGCAATACGTGGCCTTTGTGATTGACTTCGTTTACTTAACATAACGTTTCTGAGGTTCATCCACCCTGTAGCATATATCAGTACTTCCTTCTTTTTTATGGCTGAATAATATTGCATTGCATGGATATACAACAATGTGTTTATCCATTCATCTGTTAATAGGTATTTGGGCTGTTTCTACCTTTTGGATATTGTAAATAGCACTGCCATGAATACGCAGGTATGTACACTAGTTCGAATCCATGTTTTCAATCCTTTTTGTATATACTTAGGAGCAGAATTTCTGGGTTATATAATAACTCTATGTTAAACTTTTTAAGGAACTGCCAAGCGATTTTCCACAGCAGTGAAACCATTTTGCAATCCAACAATGTTTGAGGGTTCCAATGTATCTACATCCTTGCCAATGCTTGTTGTTTTCCATTAAAAAATTATAGCTATCCTTGTGTGTATGAAGTGGTATCTCAACATAGTTTTGATTTGTATTTCCCTAATAACTAATGATGCCGAGCATCTTTTCATGTGTTTGTTGGTCATTTGCACATCTTTGGAGAAATATCTATTCAAATCCTTTGCCATTTTTTAATTGGTTTGTCTTTCTGTTGCTGAGTTGAATGAGTTCTTGATATAGTTTGGATACGAGACTGTTACCAGATTTATGATTTGCAGTATTTTCTCCCATCCTGTCAATTATCTTTTCATTTTATCAATAATGTTCTTTGACGCATAAAAGTTCTAAATTTTCTAAATTTAAAATTCTAAAAATTTTCAATAAAGTTTAATTTACCTAATTTTTCCTTTGTTGCTCATGCTTTTGGTGTCATAGCTAAGATCCATTGCCAAATCCAAGGTCACGAAGATTTAAACCTACATTTTCCTTCCCGATACTTATGGTTTGGGTTCTTATACTCATGCCACTGACCTATTATCATATTGACTTTTAATCTAACTTTTCTTTGAATGAACCCTTCCTTCTACCCATTTCCTGTAGATGGGTTTGACAATCATGCCACCAGTAACACTCTATTAAACAGCAACTGCTGTCAATCTCACAATGGTGAATAAAAAGATTAGTATGGTATCTACTTATCTGCAGTGGAATAAAGCCAGTACTACACAGTATTTTAAGTTTAGCTATTGCTCAGGTTGAATTTGATTTTACTTGCATTAAAACAAACTATTAAAATCTGTTTTGAGGATTTACATCCTCTTTCTTTGCAAAATTCTCATTTAATAGAAAATAAACCACACACCATATGTTCTTATAAGTGGGAGTTAACCTATGGGTATGCAAAGGCACACAGTGTGATATGATGAACTATGGAGGTTCAGAAGTGGGAGGATAGGAGTGGGACATGGGATAAAAACTACATACTGGGTACAATGTACACTACTTGGGTGATGGGTACACTAAACTCTCAGACTTCACTGCTATACAATTTACCCATGTAACCAAAAACCACTTGTACCTCAAAAGCTATTAAAATTAATAAAACTTTAAAATATGAAAGACTTATAAAAGAATGAGTGAAGAGGAATGTAAAAAAAAAAAAAAAGGTAGCAGGACATAAAATCCAGAAAAACTCCTTTAAAATTCCAGCACATGGAACAAAAATCCATTGAAATTGAATGAACTTCTATTACATGGCTTAACGTATTTTACCAGAATTTTGTTCCATGAGTATAGGTTGTTATGGGGTAAGGGGTGTCATTTGATGTGACTTGCGTTATACTCAAATCCAAGTACTAATGTCTGCTTTAAAAAGAAATTCTACTGAAACGGTATAAAATGAGCCAGTCTGGTGGGCAGAGGCTGGGTAGGAAAATGGAGACGGGAAGGGATTCCCACTCTATTAAACAGCCTGAGTCATATGCAGATGCCCAATAAACCTCTTTCAATTATGGTAATAATGAACTATTCATCTGAAGAAAAAGAACAAGCTCAACTCTCACCCTGAGATTCAGTTTTTGGAAATTATTATATGAAGATGAAATATCGTTCCTGAAATGGACTAAAATATCATCTGTAAGGATGATGTTGGCCTATTTTGGATAGATGCTGTCACTGAGAAGACATCCACAATTAAATCCTCCACGTAGATTGGTACGTTTTCCTTCTCTTCAAGGGAATTTAAGAGTTTATATCTGGACATGAGTTAGTTTTAGCTTTGGCATGTGAAAAATACTGTGAGTCCCATTTAGTTAACTCCTCTGTGCTGTCTGTAGATCTGGGCCATTTGGAGGCATCCATACTAGCGAGGGGAATTACTCACACACCATCAAACGGACAAGAATGGTAATTGACATAGTTTCCAGCATTAAGTTCATTTAAAAAAAAAAAAGAAAAAAAAGAACAGAATTTTTTCCAAGACCGTTAACACAAAATAGAATTATTTTATTTATTTATCGATTTATTTATTTAGAAATGGAGTTTTGCTCTTGTTGCCCAAGCTGGAGTGCAATGGCGTGATCTCAGTTCACTGCAGCCTCCGCCTCCCAGGTTCAAGCAATTCTCTAGCCTCAGCCTCCCGCGTAGCTGGGATTACAGGCGCCCGCCACCAGGCCCTGCTAATTTTTTGAATTTTTAGGAGAGATGGGGTTTTGCCATGTCGGCCAGGCGGGTCTCGAACTCTTGGCCTCAGGTGATCCACCTGCCTTGGCCTCCCAAAGTACTGGCATTACAGGCATGAGCCACTGCACCCGGCATATTTTATTTATTTTTTAGAGACAGGGCCTCGTTCTGTTACCCAGTTTGGAGGGAAGTGGCACGATCATGGCTCACCGCAGCCTCAAACTCCTAGGCTCAAGCGATCCTCCTGCCTTCGTAGCTGGTACTACAGGCACGCGCCACCATGCCCAGCTAAAATTTTTAATTTCTTGGTGTGTCCTAAAACCCACAGGATGATTGTTGATCACCGACTCTTCAGCAAAGAACCAGAGATGAGCTTATAGATGACCTGAATTAGGATGACAAACCGTAAGATCATGTATCTCATAGATAGTAAACTTTAAATTCTAACTAAAACACCTGTGTAATTAATAACCGTTATTATTTCTGTTTTGTGCGATAGGGAGTGAAGAGAGACTTCAAAACGGTGGAAGTAACTGCTATAAAAAAAATCTCTGTGGAAGTCTTCTGCAGGAGAGGCGAGAATAAAATCAAAGACTTTGTCCCTAATATATACTCTCACGTTGCCTGCTGATGTTTTCTTGGTGGTACACTGAAACAACTGTGAATGCAAAAGTAATGGCTATAACCTCAGTGTTCTAAACGGTGCCATTCTGTGGGTACAAACGTCATATCAGCATTCTTACCGGCATTTGGCCAGCCTGCTTGTGGAGGGGTCAGCTACCTTACCAGGCCACTCCTACCTTTTAGGTCCTCTTATCAGACACCCTGATAAGGTGTCTGCTGGCAAACCTCGGGTCCTGGGGCTGCTGCTTTTGAAGGAGGACTGTTCTTCCCAGCCAGCTACAGAACCCCGGGGGGCCCCACAGGCTATGCAGATCCTTCATTCTTCATGGAGCCAGAGCAAGGCTGGGTCCAGAACAGAGGGAGAGCAAAGCTCCCTTCTCCAAAGGGACCACACACTGAAGTTCTTTCCATTTTTGTGTCTCCTGCCACCCCATCCAGAGACCCACATATGTGCAGCTTCTGTCTCACCCGCCTTGTCTCCCTCTGCAAATGTCTTCTGTAGGTAGGTGCCTGGGGAGGCCCAGCCCCATCTGTGCATTGGTATTGTCTTTCTCTGGGAGCACTCAACTAGGCCTGCGGGATTCTCTACTAAGCTTTTTAAGGGTTACAGAAGTGAGTCCAGCAAGCTAGGAGTGGAGGTGACATGTGTACACATCATTAGAACCCAGGGCTGAAAGTGATGTGGTGACTGCCACTCCCAGTACTTCCAGCTGTGTACCCTGTTCCGATCCCCTCCCCCTCGAATGCTCATCCTGCTGCCTTCTGTTTCCTGCCTGGCAAACTTCATTCTTCCTTCGAGGCGCTGCACAGGTAAACTCAAGGGTTACCCTGTGCTTTGAAATCTTCTTGACTCTAATGTTTTTGCTACACTGCGTCACACTTCCGTTACAGTAATTATTTTTTCAACAATGACTTTTGTTTTAAAGAAGTATGTGACATAACACAAACTGCACATATTTAAAGTATACAATTGGATAACAAGTCTCATACGAGGAAGGCTACCTTTATTACTTTCTTGACCCGAGGATGGCTCTGTAACACCTATTCATTGAAGAAAATTTAGCAGAACAGGAAAGTATAAAAAGGTTGCCTGTCATCCCGTATCAGGACATTTTCAAGGTTAATCTGCTGCTTTTGATTTTGTTAGCGTTGCTCAACAGATGTGTGTCATTCTGGGGGTCAAGTGCATAGAGGGAAAGCTACTCCCGATACCTAGAAGAATATCTACAGATGGGAATTAATTTTTCTCCATCATTAAATCCTAAAGTCCCAAAACCAAAACTTTTTTTGGTACATGGGAATCCTAAAAT